AGAGAGAGAGAGACTACCCCTATCACCACCAAAATAACAGGAATTAACAATCATTGGTCATTAATATTTTTCAATATCAATGGACACAATTCCTCCATGAAAAGATCCAGAGTAGCAGAATAGTGTGAAAACAGGACCCATCCTTCCGTTGCATACAAGAAACACCCCTAATATCGAAGGTAAACATCACCTCATTATCTCAGAATAAAGCACTGGTCAAAGCATTTCTAAGCAAATGGATATAAGAAGCAGGCTGTGTCATCCATTCTATTATAAAACAATATAGATTTCTGTGGTGATTTGAAAGGCAATGGCCTGAAAGGGAGTGGGCTATTAGGAGGGGTGGCCTTGTTGGGGTTGCTGTGGTCTTGTTGGAGGAAAGTAAACAGAGAAACACTGGACCTAACAGACATGGTGTCCCAAATGAACATAATAGCTATCCACATCACATATCACCCAAATACTTAAGAATAAACCCTCTTCTCAGTACCTCATGAATTTTTTTTCAAAAATTAACCACATACTCTTTCACAGAACAAGTTTCTACAGATACAAGAAACTTTAAATAACCCCTGAATTATATCAGACCACTATAGTTTGAAGCTGGAATTCTAGGAAACAGAAACAAAAGAAAGCCTACAAACTCATAGAAAGTTAAGAACGCTATACTGAATGAAACCTGGGACAAGACCAAAGTAAGAAAGAAATGAAAAACATTACACAGTTCAATGAAAATGAATGCACAACATACCCAATCCTATGGGACATAATGAGAACAGTGCTAAGAGAAAAGTTCATAACTTTAAGTGCCTACATATATAAATTAAAGAGATCTCATATTAGCAACTTATCAGCACACCTGAAAGATCTAGAACAAAAAAAATAGCAAACACATCCAAGACATCAGGAAATCTAACTGAGGGCTGAAATCAACAACAGAGAAACCAAGAAAATAATTCAAAGAATCAATAAAATGAAGAGTTCATTCTTTGAGATAATCAACAGAATGGACACTACTTTGCTGTGGGATGTTCTTTAAGCTGTGAATATGTGTTGCTCCTATTGTTTGATAAATAAATGCTGTTTGGCCAGTAGCCAGACAGGCAGAACAAGCAGAGAAGGATAATTCTGGGAAGAAGAAGGTTGAGTCAGGAGATGACGGCCTGAATTCCAGGAAGCAGCATGTAATGGCACACAGGTAAAGCCACAGAGCACATGGCAACAAAAAGATTCACGGATATGGGCTGAGTTTAAGTGATCATTTTAAAAGCGGCTGTGGGTTTCGTGGGGCTGGGCTGGGAAAACCTTTCAGCTACACCACCTCATCCAAACTAACTAAAAGGCAGGCAGAGAATATACAAATTATCAAAATTAGAAATGAAATGTTGGACATAACAACAGACATCTAAGATAACAAAGACATCACTAGGGCACACATTAAGAACCTGTAATCCACAACACTGAAAAATCTAAAAGAAATGAATAATTTTCTCATTATTTACCACTTTCCAAAGTAAAATCAAGGTCAGATAAACAATATAAACAGCCCTATGTCCCCTAAGGAAACAGAAGTTCTTCATTAAAGTTTCCCAAAGAAAAAAGTACAGTCAGTAGATTCTAGGCCAGTCTTTCTCATGAACATTAATGCAAAATATTCCATTAAATACTAGCAAACTGTATCCAAGAACACATTAAAAAGATCATCCACAGTGATCAAGTAGGCTCCATCACAGAGATGTATGGGTGTTTTAACATATGAAAATCTGTTAATGTAATCTACCATATACTTCTGAAAAAATTCCACATAATTTTCTTATTAAATGCTAAAAAAGCCTTTGAGATTAATCTAAAAATTCTTCATGATAAAAGGACATTAGGGATACAAGGAACATATGTAAATATAGCAAAACAATATACAGAAGGCCTTTAGTCAACATCAAATTAAAAGGAGAGAAACTCAAAGCATTTCCATTAAAATCAGGAAAACCACAAGGTTGTCCAATTTCTCTGTATGTATGCAATTTGGTTTCAAATCTACAGAGAAACTCTGTCTTAAAAAAAGAGGTTAAAAGCCAGGCGGTAGTGGCGCACGCCTTTAATCCCAGCACTCGGGAGGCAGAGGCAGGCGAATCTCTGTGAGTTCGAGGCCAGCCTGGGCTACCAAGTGAGTTCCAGGAAAGGCGCAAAGCTACACAGAGAAACCCTGTCTCGAAAAACCAAAAAAAAAAAAAAAAAAAAAAAAAAAGAGGTTAGAGAGGTTGATTGATAAAAAGACAGAAATATACAACGGAAAAAAAAGCATCTTTAACAAATGGTCTAACTGGATGTCTACATGCAGAAGAATGATAATGGATGGATAACTATCACTCTTAAAATTGAAAGTCTAAGTGGATCAAAGACATCAACATCAAACCAGAAATATCAACAGATGGGGGGCAGATGCAGCGATCCACACCCAAACATTAGGCAGGGCTCTAGGAAGCCCAAATAATAAGAGAAAGGAAGGTAGGAGCCAAAGAGGTAAAGGCATCACCAGCGCTTGAGTCAGTGATTCAAGTAGGATGGGCTCCTGGCCTGCAGTTACAGAGACTGAAGAGTCCATCAGGGAACTTGTATAGCTACTGTGCATATGTGTTATGTATGTGTAGCTTAGTGTTTGTTCTTGGACTCCTAGAATAGGGAGTTCGTGCTATCTGTAATTTTTATACCTACATTTGGGACCCTGTTCCATCTACTGGGTTTCCTTGTCCAGTGTTCATACAAGCATATGTGCTAGGCTTAGTGATACTTTTTTGTTGTTTTTTCTTTTCAAGACAGGGTTTCTCTGTGTATCTTTGGAACTTTCCTGGAACTCACTCTGTAGCCCAGGCTGGCCTCGAATTTACAGAGATATGCCTGCCACTTTCTCCCAAATACTGGGATTAAAGGCGTGCACCACCGCCACCTGGATTAGTCTTAATTTTAGTGCTTTTATCTGTTGATGTCCTAGGGAGCTTTGCTCTTTTCTGAAGGGAAATGAAGGAGGGTTAGATCTGGAGAAGATGAGGGTGTGTGTGTGTGTCTGTGTGTGTGTGTATGTTTGTTTGTGTGCTGGAGAAATGGAAGTAGGAGAAACTGTGGTAGGCTTATAAAATATGAGAGAAGAATAAAAAGAAGAATAAAAAATCACTGTCAATTATTAAGAGAATAAAACACATATAAAGCTTTAGAGCTATCAGCTACTGATAAAAGAGAAAATGTGCCATTTGTTTTTCTGGGTCTGGGTTACCTTGGTCAGTGTGACATTTCTTAATTTATCTATGTCAATGCTAATTCCATTGATATTTACCTTTGAACAGTATTCCACAGTGTACATGTGTTAAAATTTTATTATCCATTCGTCAGCTGAAGGACATTCAGGTTTTTTCCTAGTCTTGGCTATTGAAAATACAGCAGCAAAGAACATGACTGAACAAGCATTTATGCCATAGGATGTCAAGTTCTTTGGATACATTCCAAGGGGTGGAAATGATGTACATAGAACTGTTATGTATGAAATTCTCCATATACTAAATTTATAATGAAAAACATCTTTTATAAAAAAGATGCAATCTAACTATGAAAAAAAGAAACTCTGGGTAGAAAATGTTTTGAAATTTTGAAATGAATCACCAACAGCATAAACATTTTGTAAACCACTCCCACAGACAAAAAAATCATCCACTGAATTGGAAAAACATATGCACCCACTTGATGTCTAAGTGGGCAAAGGCTCTTTCTGGTAAGTTTTACTCTCCAAAAGCCACTGCCAGGATGCACATGGTTAAAAGAGAAATTTGATTCCAGCAGGTTTTTCTCTAACTACACTCTTGTGTCATGGTGCATGTACACACACACACACACACACACACACACACACACACACTCACATTCACCAAAGAAATGTAAAAATTTAAAAGTTAAGAGAACATTCCAACAGTTTACTTGATTATAATATAGGAGTCTGAGTGAGCTTAGATTATGCATTACATGATCTCACATGTAAATACAAAACCTGAATGAAAATACAAAGAAAATAAATTGAAACCATCCAAATTCCAAATTGTAAGTCATAAAAATTCAAGAAAGGGTAAAGGAACATTGAGTTTTCCTTGGGAGGATGGAGGTGGAATGTAGCATGAGGTTTGGGAGCACAATGAATATTATTAAACATATTATTTGAAATTCACAAAGAAATTGTATAATATTTACAAAAACACAGAAAAACAAAGCTTAGAAAAAAGGAGAGAAACACTTATTTAGAAAAGTTACTGTACAACACTCTTGAGACAGAAGAAAACTGAAAATGTTCAGACAAAAGATTGTGAAATGACATGAAACAAATTCAAATACAATCATCAAGATCACCGAGCATATAATTGTCATAAGAGATCCTGACATCAGATTGACAAAAGAGGAAAAGAACATGGGTGACTTCCAGTACAGCTAATGTCAGACTTGTGAGCGAATACCTACAGGACACAGGAGACCAGGATGACCAGCTCAGTGGAAAAAGGAAAAACTCTGCCTATAAATGTCAACAGCACTCTCCTTCAGAGATGAAGTATATAAAAATTATATCAGAAAACTTGTAGCAGACAGAGTTTTTCACAGTAAGCTCAGGGAAATCTGTGGAATCCCTTATGCTGAAATAAATGCATGTCATAGGTTTCCCGGTGTTTTATTTGCACCACTTGAGAGGCAGAGGTGAATATCTGAGTTCATGGGTAGCCTGGTCTACCAAGTAAATTCTAGGATAGTC